AGTGAAAACGGTAAAATTCCACTGTTCCCGTTTCGTATCAAGCACACACATTGACATTGGAAGAATACTTCGACAAAGTGTCAAGATTAGTAGGCGTTAAGAAATTTTGATTTTTTTTTTCTTATTGTACTACTGTATATACACATAAAATAGTTCTCTCTAGTAAATTCTTTCTATAGACTCGCTTAAAGTGCTTTTATATCAATTAAACCAATTTATATTCAACTAATTTGTGTTTTCGACGAAACGGGAACAGTGGTATTTTTATTTTCGACGAAACAGGAACACTGGGAAAAAAATGTTTCGACGAAACGGGATAATTAATTAAGCTTTCGACGAAACGGGATAATTAATTAAGCTTTCGACGAAACGGGATAATTAATTAAGCTTTCGACGAAACGGGAATACTCGCTCTTTGCTTTATATGGTTTAATGAATAAATATTTTATCTTACGTGCCAGATGGTCTAAATCATTCATAATTGTCAGCTTCTGACGAACAAGATAAAGAATGTATTTGTGATGTTTTTTTGAATAGTTCAAGCAGAAAATCTGTTGAATACATATTGTCAATCAATGCCAATACATTTGAAATTTGATAATGAACAAATTTTTGATAAATCATTAATAAACTTATCTGAGGATATATTAGATGATGCTTTTGACTTTAACATTAGTGTGTCAACATTAGGAAAATATTGACTAGTAGAATTTTCCACAAAATCATAGGTTTTTAAATAGAGTAAATTTACATTTGAAAATGGTTTATTTTCGTTTATTGTTGTTAATCGTTTCAGATTGTACAAGCGTGTGTCAAAAAAGCTTATTATATACGATAATGGATAGAGGAATAAACAACACTTATTCGATGAGTATTCATATGGTAAAAGTATAACAGTGCGGTACGATTCCGAAAAAACCCAAGTTAGCTGTCTAAAATTAGACCTTCATGCAGCAGCTGTTGTTGCATACTTTGCTTATTTTACTTAGGTCGAGAACCTGACTAGCAACAAAAACTTATTTCGATGTAACCGCACTTATAAAAGGAGATTACTTCGAAAAACTTTAGATCCGGAATCCTTCTCCGAAAACAAAGATAAAGCAGGTATTTCTACAGACGATACATTGTGGAGAAGTATTTCTAAACGAGCGGCCTTCGACTGACATGTATCGCCAAAATAGTGTCCTGTGCAGACACACCCAAACTTGTTACTTCTTGGATCTAATGGTATGCAAGTTCCATCATTCTTACATGCTGCGTCTGTACACGGATCAAAAGATGCCTAACATTGCTCTCCCAGTTTTCCAACTGGACAAATACATTTAGGAACTTTGAATACTTCAACATATTTTGCATATTGACCACACTTTACGGAAAGATGGTCACTCTTCTTATTACATTCAACTCCATTCCACCCTTGTTCGCACACACAGTAGTGGTGTGAGGAATTCGCATAAGTCACACAGTATCCATGTGACGAGCAATTATTACAAATCCTAAAGTTCTTATCTTGAAAGTTGAGTTCAACAACAAGTCAAGTAACATGCAAAAATGAGAACTGCACTTTGAAATACCATGATGCGGAGAACTGAACCTTGACCTTCGATATGGAATATGCATCAATTATTCGAACAGAATAATCACCACCATTAGCAAACGATGACAATAAATAAATAATATGCCGTTTATCTGAGTGAAGAATTAATACGTGAACAAGTTCTTCGTATCCAATTACCGTTTTCGTTTTATCTACCAAATAGAATAATAGTCTGAACGCTGTGTGACGTGGGAGCTATTCTGGCGTTACTATTCCAACAAAGACAGATACTCGTTTATTCTGATATTCACAGAAGTCATTCAATAAGGATGCAATAAGACTTATATCCGTTTCTTAATTTCTATAGAGAGGAAGAAGAGAAAGAACATCTTTCGAAAACGATCGTGATCGGTTTCCATAATATGCTGGTGAGCAGAGACAATGTTTGAATGGATATTCGTTTGATTCAACTAAAACTCCTCGATGGCAAAAGAAAGTGTATTGATGATTCGATACTTTGAAGTTGTACGAGTTAACATCTGGTTACGACTCTGTCATTGGAACAATCTTCGTCTCACGAGGGAAGGCCACCAACTACCCCGTCGCTTTTGAGTTCGGACTCTGTGCATAGGATAGACCCCGGTGAGGTATGAAAAACCCCAAAAGGATAAATCCCCGCAGATCTTCTATCCAGAGTTATAGCCATTTTACTGGAATTTTAGCCTATGGCAAGGTATATACTTACAAATCAAATGACGTTATTTCGACC